ATATATTACACTTAGACTTAAGTTACTTAGTTACTTCGTCTCTCTCTCTCTCTATATATATATATATATATATATATATATATATGCTGGCGCAGGCCTACTAACTTCACGACCTCATTTCATATTTTAATTTTAATTTTTTATACAAATCTAAATCATATGAAATTTTAGGCATCTACTCTTTTCATCAAGACACACCTAATAAAAATAATTAAAAAAATAATTCGTAAAATAAAAATTAACCAAAATACTCTTATAAAGTTTCAGAGGTATTTTAGTCAATTTATTTTTTAAATTATTTTTTTGATATTTTTATTTATCCTAAATTTAAAGTGATTTGAATTTATAAAAAAATTTAAAATTCAAATACGAAATGCTATTGTGATAATTAGATTGATCCATATTGAATCTAAGTTGTTGGGCTCATATAGAACTGTGAGCTAGTGAACCTACGCTAGCATTGAGATAGTGGACCGTTGGGAAACTTTAGCTCTCGCAAGTATGGTCTCCATAACCCTTCGAATCTTCAGTGCCTTTCTCTCTGTATAATATTCAAGAGTTAGTGGGCATTAGTTTTGTTATTTTACATAAGTTTTTAGAATTTTCAATTTGTATATTTCAGCCATTTTCATATAACAGTGTATTATAGAATATAACATACAGCTAAAAATTGACTTTCAACACCGCTAAATGATTGATCGTATAAAAAGAAAAAATAGGCTGGCGAGCAGCAATTATACAACCACAAGACTAAATTATTCCAAAAGTCAAATAGAAGCAATAAATAATTCTTCCTTGTATGACTAAATTTCTATCTTGGCGGGTGAGAAAAAATAGAGATGGGAAACGGGAGAGACAGGCAGTAGGATCCATAAAGGGATACAAATTACCACAAATATAGGATCCATGAAGGGATACAAATTACCACAAATATAGTTTAATTTTTGTTTATTTAAATTTTTTTTTTAAATTTTTGTAAACTTGATCCATACTCATTTTTTTAAATTTTGAATATTTTGTGATCAAAATAACTTTTACGATAGCCGCATTATACAATATTATAATGTTGTCAATACTATCGGTATACGATGGTAAAAAAAAAACCAAAAAAACAAAAAAAGAGCTTATAGTAATAGAGTGGCAATGAACCTTAAACCCAAGGCCGACGGGTAGGCCTGACCTCTCAAGTCTAGATGCAACTCCAAATTTTGGTTCTACGAGGTCGAGTATGGGTCCAAAATTTGGACCCAAATACTATTCTAAACCTGATCCAAACTCAAACCCAAACCCAAACCCCAACCCAGAACCGTCTTGACCCAACCCGATGTGACCCCTAGGTGATGGACTGATGGTTAGTTGCTCACCTGGAATCAAGACACTTGTTAAGAAGTGGGCATCGAGTTTAGGGAAAACCCGATGGGCCGGTCGTCGTCGGGAACCGTACGCGTGCCAGTCGTATCAAAAGGCGTGCTGTGCTACAGAGAGAGATGGACGGTAGAGAGAGAAAGAGCAAGGCTTTTAGAGAGAGATGTATAGATGGACTAGAGAGAGAGAGAGCAAGATATAGAGTGAGAAAGAAGTGAGGAGATAGATGATGGGCGGTAGAGAGAGAAAGAAGGAGATTTTTAGAGAGAAAGTAGAGTGAGAAAGAATTGAGAAGAGAGAGGTAGAGAGAAAGAGCAAGATCTTTAGAGAGAGAAATGTAGAGTGAGAGTTGAGGGGGGAGAATTGATGGATGGACGGTAGGGAGAGATAACAAGATTTTAGAGAGAGAAATGTAGAGAGTGTGTAAGAATTGGGAGATCAGCAAAAATTCGAATGCTCGTTGATATTGTACCTGGACAGGAGTTTCGAGGGCGGGGTTTCAGCTCACCTCAAGGTCAAGCATGGCGAAAAGACTCAGGAATATGTGTAAGATCAGGCCAAACCAAACCAGGTGTGTGAACTCTCTCTCTTTCTCTCTACCTCTCTCTATCTCCATCTCTCTCTTTGGGTTGTGCTGGTCGAGAAATGCTGGGTATGAGACCATTACTCTCTCCCTTTTCGTCCCCTGGTGCCTGAAATTTTGGGAACGTGACCATTTTCCTTTCTTTTTCTGCCCTAGGATGAGCAATTTTTCGGTTTGACACAATTTCTTAAACTCTCTTTCTCCCTCTCTGTGCCCTAGTATGAGCTATGTTACCCCCCTCCTCCAAAAAAAAACCCTCTTCATGCCCTAATATTCACAATAAAAAAATGATAAATGTGGAGTAGATGAATCAGTAGCTCTCTATTTCTTGATGCATTTTATTGTTTTATGGATGCTTGCCTGATTTGCTAGATAAGCTTCCATACTAAAATGATGCACGTCAAAACAATATAACTCTTAGCCTTCTTTACCTGTAATATTCTTTTATATGCATTCAATCTGTATTCCTGGAAAAAGTTCAATTTCTTTCTTAATTTTTTTTATGTTTCTCTGAGTTTATGTAAAATTTTGTATAAATTTGTGATGTTGGAGGTTTCACCATGATATGAACTATATTTTCCTACTTCATTACAACAACGAGGAAAAAAAAGGAGAAATGAAAAGAAGAAAAAAAGGAATGCATCTTCTTACATTCCCCTAAACCTCAAACTCTGCCTTCTCTGATTTGGTTCTGCTTTGCCTTTCATTCATTTACAGGGAGAACTGTAATGTACAGAAGTTGATGCTCTGAAGTGGGGGAATTACAAAAATGGGCAAGGAATTACATTTGCTCAATGGAGAGATATCAAAATTTGATGCATCTGATGGCTCTTCTTCAGTTATAAGCCTCGAAATTCACGATCCCATGTCGAATGCTAATGGGAATTCCTCTTCATTGATAAGCCTGGAAACTCATGACCCCATGCTGAGTGCTAATGGAAATTCCTCTTCAGTTATAAGCCTTGAATCTTATGACCCCATGCCGAAAGCTAATGGAAATTCCTCTCCAGTTATAAGCCTCAAAACTCATGATCCCACATCAATTGCTAATGGAGAATTCTCTTCAGCTATAAGCCTAGGAACTCATGAACTCATGCCGAATGCTCATGGAGGGACAAAAATATCTCAAAATGAGGCTCCCAAATCTGCATCTTGCGATGAAACACTGGGTGGAAATAAGGACCAATATTGGTGTCACTCAGTTACTGAAGTTGTCAAGACATACAAAAGAAGGAAACTCGTGAATAAGAGGGGGCTCAGGGTGACCTTGTTGTCGCAACTGTCGCTGCAGCAGATGCACTTTTGTTTATGAAGGAAACAGAAATCCCCCCCAATGGGTCCCCTTGCTCCCTCTCGATGATGGATTGTTCAAAGGATTCTAGTGGTCCAGAATTCATGTCTCGTTCCCTTGATCACCCATTGGCTACTCATTTACATGACTTTGAGAACTTCAAACTTGTTCAAAATTTGAAGGAATATGTGGCCAAGCGAGGGATTGTTCTTGGACCAGGGTGGAAAGCGCAGATCAGTTTTTGCAGTCGAAAAGGGTTGCATTCTTACTTCTCTCCGAGTGGTAAGGCTTTCACATCTATGAAGGCTGCTGCAAAGTTTCTTCAGGAGGAGAGAGAAAAGGAACTTCCCATGATTCTTGCAAGTTGTTCGGAGAGGTTTGAGAATATTTCCTATAGGAGTGCTTCTGTTTGTCCCCATTCCATTGTTCTCTCAAAGGAAATCTTTTTAGCAAGCTCATTGAGAAATCAATCGCTTATAAAAAAAGTGAAGTTTGATCCTCACGCGTCGGAACCACTGGCTCTGCAAAGCATTCTTCCTTCAGGTGGAAATAGTTTCAGTGGTGTAGGTCAACACTATGATCGGGTTTGTCACACTCTCTCTCTCTCTCTCTCTTTACATTTCTAATGAAGCAGATTAGTTCATTGTAGTAGGTCTGTCTTACCACCTTTTCTAATCTCCTTTCTGATTTCTTAGTGGATAATTGGACAATACGGTAAACTCTCCAAATATTGTCTTGATGTAGTGGCAAAAAATATACTATTACAAGTATTGCATTAAGTTGACGAGTCAATTTACTCAAAAAGAAAATTAAATCGGCATGTCATTGATTTGTTTCTTTGATCAGACCTGTTTTGTAATGTTATGGGAATCATTTTAGTATTTGTTTTGCCATGCAAATACATCTGCCCTAATATTTTGTGATTTGTGATTTCCTAACATTTCTTGATGCTGTGTCTTTCTAGGTCTTGTATAATAGGGTTTATTTTTTTGCATGTAATTATATTTTTCTACTGTTACAAAGTTCAGAGGTATGGGAACAAGTCTCAATGGCTTTTGGATGTCATTTGATACAAATGAAACATTTTATCAGGACTTAGCTACATGAAATGTCTACGATTTTTGTCTACAGTAGTGGGAGTGGAAGGGGGTGACGCAATCATTAATCAGATAAGAAGATTCACTTAATCATGACCACAACCATAGATATGAGGTTCTTGGTGCTGCCACTGGAGCTGTTTCTGGAGATGACAATGTTTGCCATTTGTAATGTGGGGCTTGGACTCTATCCAATATGGTGTTTTGTTTTCACCATGTGAGATTCTTGTGTTGGAGATGGGAGTAGCGTTCAGTTCTGTAGACTGATTAGCTTGAGGGTGGAAGAGCAGGTCCATGTTGAGGTGGTAACTAATTTGGAGTTCAGACATGAGGGTGGAGGCTTTGGTCAGGATAGAATGGAGTTACACTTTTATACTTGAAATATGTGTTGTTTCATCACTTCTTGTTTTTGAATATTAATTTGGTACCTGATGAGAATGGAATTAGCTCTGTGGCACCAACAACCCTGACCTCCTCTTCCTGGACCCATTCCCAGCCCATTCCCTACATAAACTTCATCTTTGGTGCTCTATCTTGAGTGCTTACTTGATGAAGAGGAGGCTGAGATGCTCTTCGCTCTGAAGGCCTCCTATTGTCTCTATCAGGTTATTGTTGTGAGTCGATGTGAGCACCTTTCTGTTCGTGGTCCTTGTCTTTACGCATAGATTCTTGCCGTTCCATCAGCCATTGCCTATTCTTTAGGACTCCTAGGTGGGAGTACTTACTCCCAAGGCGCATCTCTTCAGAGTGTGCCACCTCCCTTCCATTTGCATGCCTATAGGTTTTTGATGTGGCCACAGTTTTATGCATGTTTAGATTTGTGTGCGCTATGCAAAATCCCTAGTGTATCCTTTATTTGCACATGTAAGGTGGCTAGTTTGGACAAGTTTAACATTTGTTAGCTATTTATCTACACTATTGTGTGTGAGTGTGTATTTCTGTGTGTGTATTCTGCCAATTGTACATAGTGGGGAATATGTACATATTTTCTAGTTCTTCTTTATATGTTGAACAATTGGACCTTTTTGACTAATTTTGCTTGTAGTGAAGCCAGAAGTCTGTTCAGTGATACATTGATTCCTATTCAAAGATTTTTGTAGGCCTAGGTGCTTCAATTGGGGAACCAAGTTTCTTTTATAAAAAAGAAATTACATGGTGAAACCAGGTGGGTACTAATAGGTGATAAAACGAGAGAGAGAGTAGACTTAGGTGTGCTGGCCATGTGTGTCGCCGACGAAGTACAACATGTGTTAGGAGGTGCGAGTTAGTTCAAGTGGAAGGACTGAAAAAGACAAGGGGTGGGCCCAAAGGACACGGTTGGAAGTAGTCCGAAAAGATATAGGGACTTAATGCTTCACTGAGGATATGACCTTTAATGGAGCAGAATGGAGAACCAAGATTCATGTAGCCGACCCCAATTAATTGGGAAAAGGCTAAAATGATGATGATGATGACTTGATGAAACTAGGTGGTCCAAAGATATTTTTCACTTTATAGTCTTTTTGTCACTTTGTTCTTACTGGATAAAAGCTGGACTCAAATATTTAAATGGTGGACTGCTTCAACTCAGGGAAGGTGGATTTAGGTGGCCTTATTATTTTGAGTCGGGCACCTCGGCACCAATAGGCAATAAGATGAGAGAAAATAGACTTAAGTGGGTTGGCCATGTGATGCCGATCAAAATCTGATTGCTACAAAATTTTATTTTTAGAGTTGTGGGTAGACTTTTTATTTATTTTTATTAGGGTTAATTTTTAAAAATAGGATTAATAAGAGTATTTTTAGTTTAGTTCATAAAGTCTTTTTTTTTTATATGAGTTGGTTTAGGAAAGTCCGTAGATTCCTTTTGGATAGTTCTTTCTTTTTTTGGGATAGATCTTTTCTTTTAGGAAATGTGTGAATTGAAGGAAGCTAATCTTGTATCCATAGGAACGCGAGATAATAGGAAAAACTTATTACAAGGTAGCTATCTTCTTAGTTATAGAAACTTATTACAAGGTAGTTATCTTCTTAGTTATAGAAAGGAAAGTTCCACTTCTTTTGAAAAGTGGCGTGGGTAGGAGTTGAGTAATAGTCTTTTGTTAGTTATCTTCTTTTAGTAGTTATCTTTAGGTTTTTGAAAGCACACTCCTTTAAAAGGAGCACATGAATTGTAAACAGTAGTGTTGTCAAATTCGCTTTGCTTCGCTTCGGCCGAAGCCTTTAGATTTTAGGCCTAGATCCAACCGAAGCGAAGCTTGGTGTTGCCGCTTCGGCCAGCTTCGGGACGCTTCAATCATTTCAGGCTGCTTCGGTCAGCTTTTGCCTCTTCTGCCAAAGCAGCTAAGATGAGCTATTTACAACACTACAACACTAAAAAAAGTCATACTTTCAAACCGGTCATTGGCAGCAGCAGCAAAATGGTGATATGAGAATCAACTCAAAAAATCCCATCACACAAGCTTTGCAAAATCTCAACCAGTGTTCGCAAAATCGAACCGGAACGGTTAACATGACATGGGCCTGGAAGCGGTTTAACTAGCCTAACCGCTAAACCGGCCTAACTGGTAAACCGGCCGATTCAACCACTCTAACCGCGCAAGTCCCAAGGGATCAAAAAAGTGTCGAAAAAAATAAAAAAAATACAACAAAAATCTACTAAAATATGAAAAATATAAAAAGAATGATTAAAACAAAGCACATTCAAATGAAGTTGAAAATTAATGAAAAAAATGGATTTTAACCCATTTTACATTTTCCAAAGGCTAGTTTTAAAATTTTCTAAAAAAGATGGGAAAATATAAAAGTGAGTATTAATGACCAAAACAATGTTTAATCTTTACCATACAGCAAAGAATATTTAAAAATATATTACAAATCAAATTCCTTATTTTTGGGAATTTATACACATTTTTTTGAATTTTTTTTTTTAAATACCGGTTGATCACCCTAATCGCCCAAAGCCGGGCCGATTCTGATCTAACCGGGCGGTTATCGGTTAGATCGGGCGATTTTGTGAACAATGATCTCAACCACTGGTTTTAAAGCCAAAACCTTGAAGCCCATGAGGAGACAGAGAGGGATGAGGAGAAGGAGGTTTGGAGTGAAGGTTTGTCTCTCCTCTAGGAGTGAGCCATAGAGAGCGAGGGAGAGATAGTGGCAAACTAGATCTAGTTCTTGGCTTTGGGCTTTTTGCAGTCTTTGATATTTATACATAGAACGTGAGAGAACTTATGAAAATGCCCCTGGCTATATAAAAGTTTTTTATTTTATTTTTTGGAATAAAAATTTTGATTATTTTAATATTTTCATATATATGCAGATAGATATCTAATTTATTTATATTAAATTGAAAACAAAATCCGAAGTCTTTTTCCAAATCAGCTGAAGCACCAAATTGCTTCATTTTTTTGACCAAACCGAAGAAGACTCCAAAGCGAATCTGACAACATTAGTAAACAAGGTGATTATTTTTTATGGAATAAAGAACGTTTTTTTTGTAGAGAGAGAGGCTCTTCTTGTGAGTGTTTTTTCTTCTCTTGTGCTTGTGGGCCCGTAGCGGAATACTCAGATCTACAAGTTTGTTCCTTTTGCTTGCGATTTCCTTCGTGGTTTTTATTTCTCTCTAAAACGCGGTTATTTTGCCAGGTGCTAGTCACCGATAATTTTATACTATGTCACCATGTGTGACCAGTGTTTTAAAAAGTGCTAGGCAGGACCTAGGCGGTCGGGGGGGTCCAGGCCGCCCAGTGCATAGGCGGGGCGCCTAGAACTTGGGCAGCCCAGTAGAAATTTATTTATTTATTTTTCTCTCTCTCTAAAATAGGCTCTAATGGGTTTTAGGTTTCAAATGAACCTAAAACTGGTTTTAGGTTTCAAATGAACCTAAAACCCACAATTTTGAACCTTTAGTATTAAAAAAATGACCAAACAATATCCTCAACGAGGGGCATTTCCGCCCCTGGGCGCCACTTAGGCGGGTTCCCAGGCACCTAGTGATATCCGCTTTTTTTGGGAGCCTAGGACTGAGCAATGCACCCAGGCCTCCAGAACCGCCTCAACAGCAGCCCAGGCGCTGGGCGGTTCGCTTTTTGAACTATTGTATGTGACATAGACCCAATACAACATTTGTTAGGAGGTGCGAGTTAGTTCAAGTGAAAGGCTAAAAAATGGCAAGGGAAAGGCTTAAAGAACATGGTTGAAAGTAGTGAGAAAAGATATGGGGACTTATGACATCATTGAGGGTGTGGGCCTTAATAGATCAGCATAGTGGACCAAGATTCATGTAGCTGACCCCAATTAGTTGGGAAAAGGCTTTGAAGATGATGATGATGACCTCAGCGGCCTAGGAGGCTGGAGTTTGTGGCATAAAGACAAGATCAAACCCATAATTTAGGGGCTTTTTCTTGTTTAGTTTGTTATGTATTACCTTTGCGGTCTTGTTGTGTTATGATGTAACCTTTATTCTTCTTGTTTGGATGTGCGCTGTGTGGCTCACATGGGCCATT